GAACTCTGACAAACTCTGATAATCCAGCTGTGCTTGTGCAGAAATGCATCTTTAGACGTGCATCTTTAGTCTGAGCTTTACGCTCCACACTGATGGTTCGCTCTCAGCAGTATGGCTCTTCCTGCTCTGGCTACTTAACAAACTATGTGGCTGATCATCCTCTGCCAAGAGTAAAAAATCTTTTGGCCTAACTGTTAAGTTTTATTTCTTTCACGACAAGTTATAATTCAATTCAATTCAGTTTATTTGTATAGCGCCAATTCACAACACATGTCATCTCAAGGCACTTTACAGTTTACCAGATCATACAGTCATATTGATTCAAAGCTTTCTATGTAAGGAAAACCAGTTGATTGCATCGACTCATTAACTCAAATGCAATCCCTCACACTAAGCTTGCTTGTAGCGACAGAGGAGAGGAAAAACTCCCTTTTAACAGGAAGAAACCTCCAGCACAACCAGGCTCAGTGTGAGCGGCCATCTGCCGAGGCTGACTGGGGTTCAAGGAGACAGAAGCAGAGAATCAAAAAGCAACTGTAAAAGGCGGCCCGGTCCAGGAAACACACAGCCAGGCAGATGAGCTCTGAGCCAACTCCAATTTCAGTGATAGTCAGAGAAACAGGAAAGCACTGGAAAACAGGCCGATCTCCAACACGTATAAACAACAGTGTTTTTGGAGTAATGAAGATTAGTTTAACTTTGTATAATGCATAATTCATAGTAGATCAGGAAGTATTTGCTTTTGCATGGAAACCCTATGTGTCTACAATCATTCCTTTATTGTAAATTTTCTCAGCTTGTCTGTCTGCTTTATTAACCGATATGATGTGTTGAACTAGATCTGCTATTTTGACAGCTTTTGTGAGACACTTTTGTATAAATTAGGGCATTAACTCATAAAAAAGTTTATTTGAATTGTATAAATCAATTGTTTTCTGCCCAACAGCAATGATGAACTACACGGCAGCATTCTATACCCAGCAATTTTATCTTTGCAAGAGCCGTCAGTCTGGTAAAGAATCTGGTTATTATTCCAAATTGTAAGGGTTAAATGTTTTTTGCAACATAAAACTGACTAAAATTAGACTAAAATCTTTTTAAGTTTTATTTGACTAAAACCGACTGGAACTGTCACATATCATGATGACTAAAATGAAAGCAATTAAGACTAATAATTGTTCTCATCCTGAAGACTGAGAATATGATTAAGACTAAGATGGCAGTCAAAAACAACACTGGTAAGAATATTTATTAAGCACCTTACACAGATAAAACAATCACAATATCCCTGTTACAGGGATATATACCTTAGATGAGCTTTATTGATCTCACAGCGGAGAAATTCACTGGTCACATATTGGCATAATAATTAAAGAAGGCGCAAACAAGGAGGAAAAAGGTGCAAAAAGAATAAACAATATATATATACAGTATATCAAGATAACTAGGATTAAGCTGCAAGTGTAAACCTCAAGCTTTTAAGGTAATTAAAACTTTTATTAAAGGTATTGTGGAGGAGAGCTCTCCACACAAAGCATTCCGGGATATATCTTCCTCTTCTGAGGCCTTTCTTTTCTTTTCAGACACTTTTCCTCTGACGACCCATGGCAATTTTCAAAGAACCGCAGTGAAAAAGGGGAGCTTCAATGACTGTCTGAAACCGTAGCTCACCACATATATACGCCTGACAGTAAGAATGCACAGAAAAAGATAGCTAACGGGACAAGCACATAGGACGGCCTTTCTTAAACATATCCCCAGAATGATTGACAATTATGAGGACCATGTCCTGAAGCGAGGACAGATGGACCCAGTATTCAAGGAGAGACAGTTAGTAGTAAAGTTTAAAATGTTTATTAAATAAAACAAAAACTAAAGTGGAGCTGTGGCTTGCGGATACTGCAGGAGGGGGGGGGGGAATCACCGCCCAATCTCTGACACTCTGTGGGAGAAACACAGGTAAGTGACCATGATCATCTAACAGAAGATGATTATCTGAGTTGGTCACTTACCTGGTTTAACAGTCCAGTCCAAGAGTGTCCCCAGAGCTGCAGTCCCAGAGGTCTTGCAGGAAGCCGATCCTGGTCAGGAATTCAGAACAGACAGGAACAGACAGAACAAGATCCAGATCAGGCTGGAACAGACAGGTGGCAGGATCCAGGCTTCCAGGCATCCACAAGCTCCCAGGCAGGTTTAGAGTCTGACTGGGACTGGAAGCATGACCAGGTGGTCACGCACAGGAGCAGAAAGGATCAGGTGCAGACAGGCAGGCTCAGTGGAAGAGGTAGCAGAGACAGGACGGGAACCAGAACTTGATGCAGGAACTTTAAACTGGTCTCCTCCTTGGAGCCAGGCTTACTGAGATAAAAACTGAACCTCCCCACATATAGAACCAAAAACCCAGAGGACTCTGCAGGGAGGAATAGTGGACGATCAGGAGATGAGACAAACACAAAAACCTCTTTCCACTGGCCGCCAGCATCCAAAACCTGAACCAAGGAATCAAAATAACAGACAGGCTAACAGAAAGACAAATAATGATCTCGCACTGAATGCTAACATGAATATAACCCAGAGGAAACAGGTGAGAGGAATAAATTATAATTGAGGCAGGGAGGGAAAATGACAGGTGAAAGAAATAACCAGAAATAACCAGAGCGAACAGGCCAGATCATGACAGACCACTTGTTTAAATGATCAACCTGGAAATAAAAGATCGTCCTCTATGCCTTTAAGAAACTGGCTCTTGACCTACAAGATGACTTGGTCGATTATATACTAATCCTCCATTCTAATCTAAAATTCTTGAGAAAATTGTTGCTAAACAAATGTGTAAGCACTTACACAGTAAATAACTTTTTGAAGAGTTTCAGTCTGTTTTTAGAGCTCATCGTACCACAGAAACAGCTCTGGTGAAAGTCACTAATGATATTCTCATGGCCTCAGATAATGGACTTGTATCTGTACTTGTCCTGTTAGATATAAATGCTGCATTTGAGACAGTTTATCTCCTATATTCTTCCTTTAAAAAGACTTGAATATTTTTTAGGAATTAAAAGAACAACACTAAGCAGGTATAAAATTTTATTAATCTGACAGATTTCACTTTGTTAACGTTGATAATAAATCTAATTCATGCTTCAGGGTTACCTGTGGAGTACTACCGGGATCAGTGCTAGGACCAATTCTCTTTACTACATATGCTCCGAAATGGTAGAATTATGAGACGGCATAGGACTAATTTCCACTGTTATGCTGATGATACTCAGCTATACCAGTCTATAAATCCAGATGAAGCTAACCCATTATATAGACTACAGGCATGTCTTTCTGCTTCTAAATGCAGACTAAATAGAAGTTATATTCTTTAGACCACAGTCTTTGAAAAGGAAGCTGATTAGCCAGTCACTTAATTTGGATGGGATTAAATTGATTTCAGATAATAAAGTAAAAAATCTTGGTGTTATTTTTGATCAGGACCTGTCATTTAAATCCCATATCAAAGAGGTTTCTAGAATTTCCTTCTTTCATCTGAGGAACATTGCAAAAATTACAAATATCCTGTCCAAAGGTGATGCTGAGAAACTAGTCCATGCATTTGTTACTTCAAGGCTGGACTATTGTAATTCTTTACTATCAGAAAGTCCACAAACTGTAGTTAAAAGCCTTCAGCTGATCCAAAATGCTGCAGCCAGAGTTCTGATGAAAATTAAAAAGAGAGATCATATCTCTCCTATCCTGGCTTCTCTTTATTGGCTTCCTGTTAAACCCATAATAGAATTTAAAATCCACCTTCTAGCATATAAAGCCTTGAATGGAAATGCTTCAAAGGCAGACACCCTGCTTACTTTTAAGACAAGACTTGAAAGGCTTGATAAACTTTATACTTAGAATGGCTCAGGTTATCCTGAGCTATGTCTATGATTATGCTACTGTAGGGTTAGACTGCTGGAGGATATGGTAAACCCCTTTTCATCGTTCTGCTTCATTTTATCTCTTTCCTCCCATTATTCAGTATTTGTTAGTTCAATCTCTAACTCTATAATCTCTCTGCTTTTTATCATCATAGTAGCCTTATCTGGTCTGTTCCTGTTTTGTTTTGAGAGAGATATAAGCCATGCTCCTGCCTTCAACACCTTTGTTTATAAATGTTTGAGCTTGGCATGTTTTTTCAGTGCAGTGCTGTTTCTCTGACTGTGACTAACTGTATGTGTTCACTTTCACCCTCTCACATGGTCGCTGGCTCTGAACTCATCTGCCTGGCTGTGTGTCATCTGAATGACTGTTGCCTTTTGTATCTCTGCTTCTTTCTTTATGTTTGCTTCTGTCTTCTTGAACCCCAGTTGGCCTCAGTTGATGTCCGCTCACACTGAGCCTGGTTCTGCTGGAGGTTTCTACCTGTTAAAAGGGAGTTTTCCTCTCCACTGTTGCTCCAAGCATACTTGGTGTGAAAGATTGCCTTTTGAGACAATGAGTCAGTGTAGTCAGTGTGAGCTCCTCAATGGATTACACAAACAAACCCAATACTTTTTAGTGTGTATCGATCAGTTTAAGCAGATGCAATTAAGCTATGGGGAAAAAGTAGGAAAATACTTTGTTTTTAAACTGTAAAAATGTAAAAGAAAAGGATATTAAGTTACTATTGGACTTGGAATTGCACTTATATATTTAAAAAATATTTATTTCATTTGAAATCTTGCAGCAACAGGCTCTGATTTTTCTGTAGCCAATGGCAGCTTCTGACAGAAGATATAAGGGTGGAGATTTAGTTGGTATCTATCCAGAGCTGGTGAAGACATCTTCAGTCTGCAGACATGCAGGAAATAACACCAACAGGTGATACATCTAATTTAATTCACTGCCGGTTTCACCATCTAGTTTAACTATTCAGTTTTACTCCTTATTCAAAGATGTTTGTGGAACAACAGCAGCTGGGCTTGAATAAGATCTCAGATCTCTATATGTAATTGTTTTTTTTTGTTTTTTTTTTGCAGGGTTTTTGTTGATATGATGTACGACTGCAAAGGACCTACAGCTTCCTAAGCTCTTACTGAGGTCTGTCTGATGTTTAAACTTATCTCATTCTACAGGTTCATAGCATGTTTAAACTGAGTTTCTGTTTCTCATGAGTCCGACTTTTGAAGGCATAGATACTGAATTTAAAGTCAAAATGTTTTTTTGCTGCAAGGGATTTTAGACTTGAGGCAACTTTAAACACCTCACTCAATATTTATATGATTTTCTGAGATTTTAAAGATGACATGATTTCTCTGAGACTAACTGTGGATGCATTTTAAATTTTAACTTTTTCAGGACCAGTTTTATTTTTATTCCATATCCTCCATTTTGTCTTCAAACTTTAATTGTTGCTCTCTCACAGGTCACAGTTTCCTCCTTCAGAGTGTAAACAGCAGTGAAATAAGATCATAAAATCAACACAAAGATACAAAAAAATGCATTTGCATGAAGAAATCAAATCAGAATTATGTTTGCTGAATTCATTATCAAATCTTTTAGATTTCAGATTAATTTTTTTTCTGTACTGCAGTTCAGAGTGTTCAAAGTTAGAAAGAGTGGCTCATTATTACAAGTTCACACAAAGAAAAACAGAACATGGGCAGAATATAATTGACTAATTGCTAGCTATAAAAATATAAACTGATCTTTCTATTATGCCTTGCCGTATATTTTGTCATAGGAATTTATTCCGGCATCTTTTTAGTTGTGTATTCAACAACTGCAGCTTTAATGAATCAGCAAGCAAAATCTTGAAGCTTTGTTTTGAGCTACTTACTCAGCATTTCTGTTTCAACGAAGTTATTGTTGTGATTTTTAGGCATATCTAATAAGTGTTTACAACCAACTTTATCTGATAAGTTGTAAAGACTAAAACCTTGACAAAAGACAGGGAATAAAATGATAGTTATTTAGAGCTTAAGTGCTGTAATCTCCAACTCAAGTGTTCTTCTGGGCTAAATCCTTCAGAACTCCAAATACACAGCATTGCCTCAGTAAACTGCAACCGAAAAACTACCAGAAGTATTTTGTCCTTAAGAAATGACTAACTGCAGTATATTGGGAGAATGACCTACAGTGGGCTAAAGCTTAGATATTAGCAGAACCTGGAGCTCCAGTTCTGTCTGTAAGGTTTATCAACTGAAATGTTTATTGTAAATGTGCATCAGTATTAAGTCTTTCTTCTTCATAAGCAGATTACTGGAAAGCAGTAGGGGCAGAAGATCTAGCAGAAGCATTTCAACCTCATAGTGAAACCTGTTTTTAAGTCAAAACTGGCAGCCATGGAACATGTAGATGGTTAGCATTGGCAGGTTTAATGACCCTGTGGTCGTCTTTGTGAGGATTAGGTCACTAAACTATTTTATTTCAATCAGAATTTATTGAACACTGTTCATTAAGGTCCATACATCATCCCAGGAGGAAGTCATTTATGTCTTGAATAGTAAATAACCTGAAGCAAAATGACACTAAGGAGTCTTAACAAGTAGAGTTTGTGGATTAGGTGTATGAGTTTTTCTTTAGAGACCAGAGGGCTAATTTAGCCTCTGCTGTGTTAATATCTGTCCTTGTAGGCCAGACGAATACATTATTTCAGGTAGTTAGCTGAGATATGAGGTTCAGATTCTACATCAGAGTCATCACTTGTTAATCTGAGTCTGACCTCGATTTCAGTTTCTGGGCAAATCTCAGGCCGAAATTCAAGCTTTCAACACCTTCTGAGTGAAACTTTTTTTTACACCTTTGCAGAACTATTAAAAAAATCACTCTTTGGTCCAAACATGAGATGACAGAGGTTGTACGTGGATCATAATCACTTATGACATTTTCATGAAGACATTCTTCTTACTATGACTATCTACTTTAGGGCCCGCATGACTGGGTTGTTACCAATTCTACCTTTTGAGGACCTTGTCAATTTGTATTAGATCTGTGTAGTAAAAGCAAAAGGTCAAAGTCATTCTCTGCAGCAAAGGATGCTACTCTATATAAACAGCTTAACAGTAGCAGAGCCTGCAGAGTGTTACTGGGCTTCGCACTAACCTCTAGAATGGTCTGAATGTCACAAGGTTGGTATGGAGACACCGCTGTAACTTTAAGGATAGGTCAAAAGCAGATCTTTTGGACAGCTTCTGATTACGGACTTAAACTGCCGTAGAATGTTTAGGTCTATCTGAGGGCATCTCTGCAAAGGTGGAGGGGGGAATCATCCAGCCAAGAGTCAAATCTCACATTTAGGAAAAGCAATTAAGTCTTGTTTATCTCATTCTTAAACCACTCACCAGAAATTCTTGCATTTTGTCCAACTGTCCCTGCTTGCTTTAATTTTTCCTATAGATAAATTCTTTAGAGACAGAATGTACAGTATGAGGCAGCTTCCCTATACAACTGGAAGAGAGGCTGGTTTCAATGACTGTAGACAATATCCTTTATGGTTTCTTAAAAGATCTCCTTTTTTACATGAATACATGGATTGTTTGTAAGACAACTCCTCCAAAAGGGCTCAGTGTCTCAGATTTAGATAATCTTTTTAATCAGCATATTTCCTGTTTAGGTTTAGAATAGGCTTGAAAAGCAAATGACTCTTAACAGGAGTTCAAGTATTTGAATTGTTACCTCAATCTATTCTCATTCAGAAAGGTTTGTTCTGAGAACTCTGAGGTGGCAAAGAAAGTATAGCATGTTTACAGCATTGATGAAGATCTAACGATGTTTAGTGGTAGTTTTTGTCTGATAGAATGTAGCATTTGTTTGCTGTGAGCAATAACCAACTGTTGGTAAAATTAACACCCCTTCCAAACAAGTGGAACAAGCTGTGACAAACTCCTAAAAACATTAAAGACATTCTAAGGAATGTGTTCCAACACAAAGGATGGATAGGAGGTAGCAGGTCCAGACCCAGACAATGGACCTGAGGTGGTGTTGGAGTTTTGCATAAACTTTGTTGCATTAGGAATAGCCAAGGATCCCCTTAACTAGGATAAACGTTCCACAAATCTTCGGAACTGTAGGAACTGGATGAATTTCATAGCCATGATCAAGACTTCTGCTCTAGGTTTGGTATTCAGAAAGTAACTTGATGCTTGCTAAGGCTGGAGGTTGGAGTGGATGGATGGATGGATGGATGGATGGATGGATGGATGGATCCTACCTACCTACCTACCTACCTACCTACCTACCTACCTACCTACCTAGGATGGATGGATGGATGGATGGATGGATGGATGCTAAAAAATGAATATTGATCTGAGTGTGCTGTTTGTGTTTCAGACTGAGCCTGAAACTCTAGACCAGGAGGGTCTGGTAGAAGATGAGGATGGAACCACTGACGGAAAACATCTCCTCACACAAATACTTTATATTCAGTGGCTTCAGTGAGCTTGGAACACTAAAATCCTTTGTTTCTATCCCCTTCTTGATCTTGTTAATTGTGTCCGTGTTTGCCAACTCACTGCTAATCTATGTGATCATTTCACAGAGAAGTCTCCATTCTCCAATGTACATTCTCATTGCCTGTATGGCATTCTTTGATGTGAGCCTGCCATTGCTTCTAATCCCCAACCTGTTACTGAATGTCTTGTTTGACTTGACGAAAATCTCTCTTAGCGGCTGCCTCGCTCAGATGTTTTTCGTTCACTTCGTAGGAACTTGTCAGTCAACGCTGCTGTTCTGGATGGCATTGGACCGATATTTTGCCATCTGCACCCCGCTCTACTACCATGTCCAGCTGTCTTTGCCCAGATTTCTTAAGTTTGTTATCCCCCTTCTGATCAGGAATATCATCATGATCATGGTGGTGGTGGTTCTGGCAGGAAAACTGTCCTATTGCTTCAATAATGTGATAAACCACTGCATTTGTGAACACATGGCTTTGGTTGAGCTGGCCTGTGGAAGCACCACCATCAACAGTCTGGTTGGGCTGCTCACAGTGTTCCTGGTCACTGTGTATGATTTCCTCTGTATCACTACTTCATACATTATCATATTTGTCTCTGTGCTGCACTCAAGAACAACCAGTGCTAAAGCTTTGCATACCTGCATCACTCACATCATCGTCTTGGTCATAAGTTTGACTCTTGTACTGACAGCTTTCTTGTCATATAGGATCAGAAACAGTCTCCCAGCTTCTGGCCGACTTTTTGTTAGCATCATGTACCTGTTCCTTCCAAGCTGTTTTAACCCAATTATCTATGGCATCAGAACCACTGAGATCCGACAACATATCTTAAGCATGTTGTTGTCTTGCTTTCCAAAAGAACAGAATAGAATAGAATAGAATAGAATAGAATAGAATAGAATAGAATAGAATAGAATAGAATAGAATAGAATA